ACTATGCATTATTCGTTATGATCACGGTACTGCCGTTGCATCAACCTCCGCTACGCATTATTCATTGTGATCACCGTACTGCCGTTGTGTGTACCTTGTGGTATTCTTGTGGTGACTTTGTATTATTACAGATGCTGGTTTGCACGACAGAAGAACAAGAGCCATCACCAGATGAGGATGAAGTAACTCATAAAAAAAAAGACAAATTAGAAAAGAAGTTTTTGTCAATTCATGGAAGTAAGTTATTGTTATACGATGCCTTCTTCAGTGATATAGTCAGTACAACAAAAACTCATTGTGTTGTCACTTGTTACCATATTGCAATTCATATAGTGTGTGTTCAATATAGGTATAAACTAACCAGAAAACTTATGACAATACTATCTGTAAAAAAGGGTCAAGCCGAATTGAAGGTTTTTTGTCATGTCAGTCATACTTTCTTTATTATGAGTTCATATTTGAACACAACAAAAAATCTGAACACAAAAAAAATTGGGGTCACCAGATGAACTATCATGAAAAATTTGTCATTTTTATACTGGTTTCTATTGTGAGATTATTTATTCATATTTCAAAATTTTGCTTGGCATTATGGAATGAAAAAGTTGTATATTATTACTGTTATGAAATCTAACACTGCGAAATCATATAAAAAAATTGACATATAAGTTAAGATAGTAGGTTTCAATTGTGATATCAGTTTTCCATTACCGGTATATACAATGGGAGGTTATCTCCCATAATGCATTGCATATATGTGCAGTAGCATGCTCAGTATTTGAATTTTGGCTAAAACTGCGTTAATTCATCTTGGTATGTTTGTTGTGAAAATGTATGTGTTTGAAATCCATGAAAATTCACCAAAGTTACTTTGAGATTCTGGTTCTGATTCTGGTCAGATTTGTTTGACCAATATACTGTAAAAAGTAAAATAATTACTGGATTTAATTTTTACGGATTTTAGGTTGCAAGGATATTCATTGGGATTTAAATCTGGTTTTGAAGGAAACGGCATAATTTATTATTAAATTTGAATATTTGAAATAAATGAAAGTCCCTTACAGTATCAGTGTACCAGTAGCAGTTAAATGGATTTTAAGAACACTTATCTAACGCTAACTTACCATGGTATTTGCATACAAAATATAAGTGATGTCACTTCTAATAGAGCAAATATGATAATCTGTTTTTTTATGAACTATAATTAATGATAAATTTACTAAATTAATCTGTGATTCAGACATGCTAGTATTATAACTTATATATCATCTGAAAGCTTAGATATAAATGAATATAGTAGTGCATATTTTTGTAATACTTGAGATTGATTTGAATCTTTTTTTCATTTGCACAGTAACAATCATGGATGCACCAAAATAATTGTTAAAAACTAAGTGAAAAATAATAAATTCTTTTTTAGTCACTCCATCTTTGAAAAATGTTCGAAAAAGAAGATTTAGAAAAACTGCCAAGAAAAAGGTAAGGGTGTAATTTAACTACAATACTCAGATTGGTTGAGTTGACTGGTCTGTTATGGTCCATTATAATGCACATTCACATAAAATAATCATACTCTGATGAT